GCCTGGCTGACCCGGGTCTGGATTGACCCGGGTCAGAAGATCCCCGATTTGAGCGGGTCGGAGCCGGGCGGGAAAGCCGCCGTTGCCTCATTCGGGCTTTCGTCGGGCCGTTTGGGCGTCCTTTTGGTTGCTGTGGCTCGTCGTCCATGCCAGCGCTCCCGCCCAAGACTTCGTGTTGTTTCACGCTGGACTAGCGCCCTACTCTTTTCTGCATTGGCGCCGCTCCCAGCAACAACAGCACCCCTGCTCGAGACTTCCGCCCTTTCTATCCGTAAGGGCTTCGCCCCGTGTCGCCGGGCCCCTCTCTCGGATAATGGGCAATGCAAATGCGAAATCATGAGGCCTTGGCGCCGCCGTGAAGCAGCGTCGGGACTTCACGCGAAGACGATGAGTAATCGGCAAGACAAGTTGAGATTTTGATGATATTGTTGAATTCGGTGTTGCATTTCGAGCTTGCTCGCGTATGCTGTGCAAAAAGCTTTCCTACGAAGTATTGAAATGTTGCAGATCCCATGTCTTTTTTGACCCTGACCCCACCGATCTGCGTGAGAGGTGCAACCGAATTTCAAGACATGTGGCAAATCCCATGTTTTTGTTCGACCCTGACCCCGCCGATCTGCATGAGGAGTGCCACCGAATTTCAGAAATGTTGCAAAGACCTTGTTTGTTTTTGGACCCTGACCCCGCCGGTCTGCGTGAGGAAGGCCTCGGAATTTCAAGACATGTGGCAAATCCCATGCGTTTCTGGACCTGACCTTTCCGATCTGCGTGAGGGGTGGTAGTTTCAACCCCCCAGAAATTCTGAGAACCCTCCCAGGAGGTGCTAACAGCAGCATAGATAAGCAGCATAAAGCAGAGTTGTAAAAGTGGAAACTGGAAACTGAAACTGGTGCAGGGAACAGCAAACCCTGGTCCTACAGCCTGGGGGCCTCACAAGGGGGCCGGCTGATTTCCCGAGCAGTGCTTGCACTTCGGGCATCTGTTTTCTGTTCTAACGACCAGGACCGTGCCGTTGGTTTGGCGGCTATGTGGCCGCCGTCGCCGCCTCGTCGCCGCCCGTCGTCAGGACCAGTCTGTCCTTCGCCGCGCTTGTTGCCCCCGTCGCCGCCTCGTCACCGCCCACCTGTGACATCTGGGCCGCTTGGGCCTCTCCTTCCCGACGCGCCTTTCAGGGCCTACCCGCCCGATCAGCCAGTCTGGTTCTGCAACGTGTTTTCTGCTCCTAGCCCCCTCTCCTGCTGCTCTATCTCGTGCTCCGACATGCACGCTGCAGGCTGCAGGTCAGAAAGATGTACCTCTAAGGGGGTACGGACGAGGACGAAAAGGGTGTGGGACATACGTGCTGAATGGCACGCGAACAGCCTTAGCATGATCGTTGCTGTTGTTGTTGTTGTTGTTGTTGTTGTTGTTGTTGTTGTTGTTGTTGTTGGTGCTGGTGCTGGTGCTGGTGCTGGTGCTGGTGCTGGTGCTGGTGCTGGTGCTGGTGCTGGTGCTGGTGCTGGTGCTGGTGCTGGTGCTGGTGCTGGTGCTGGTGCTGGTGCTGGTGCTGGTGCTGGTGCTGGTGCTGGTGCTGGTGCTGGTGCTGGTGCTGGTGCTGGTGCTGGTGCTGGTGCTGGTGCTGGTGCTGGTGCTGGTGCTGGTGCTGGTGCTGATGCTGGTGCTGGTGCTGGTGCTGGTGCTGGTGCTGGTGGTGGTGGTGGTGGTGGTGGTGATGGTGGTGGTTTCGGTGGTGTTGTTGTCGTTGGTGTTGTTGGTTGTGATTGTGATATTGTTGCTGCTGCTGTTGTTGGTGATGATGTTGTTGTTGTTGGTGGTGGTGTTTTTGTTGTGGCTGTTGTTGCTGCATGTCAACTATGAAACAATTATTATTGTTGGACCCTCCCAGGGCGCTTTGGCGCTCTCGCCTCGGCGCCGGTTACATTTTCATTGAACATGAGGCTCACGCTCGCGCGGTTCGGGGGGGCGCCAAAACCAGCCCCCCGACAACAACAACGCTCCCGCTCGAGACTTCCTTTTTTACTCAGGGCTGGTGCTGTTGCTCGCCGCCGAAAGCCGCCGCCCCAACCAAACCAGCGCTCCCGCTCGAGACTTCTCTCGTTTTACCTTGGACTGGCGCGCTACTCTGTCTCTCCTCTGCGCCGCCCCCAGCAACAACAACGCTCCCTCTCGAGACTCCCTCCCTCCTTCACTCAAGGCGGTGCTCCTCCTCGCCTTCCCGACAAAACCAGCGCTCCCGCCCGAGAGGTCCTCCCGTTTTACGCTGGACTGGCGCCCTATTAGTTATCTTTTGAATTGGCGCCGCTCCCAGCAAGAACAACTCTCCCGCTCAAGGCTTCCTCCGTTTTCCTGAAGACGGTGTTGTTCCTCGCCCGGCTCCTGCTCGAGGCTTCCTCCCTTCTTACTCAAGTCGGTGTTCCTCCTCACCGCCGAAAACCGCCGTCCAAAAAAAACAGCGCTCCCGCTGAACAGTTCGTTTTGTTTTGCGCTGGACTAGCGCGCTACTCTCTTCAGCATTGGCGCCGCTCCCAGCAGCAACAGTGGCCCTGCTCGAGACTTCCCTCCTTTCTATTCATGGCCAGGTCCTTGCCTCGCCGCCGGCAGCCCCCATCCCCACCAAGGCAATCCTGTCGCTCGATAGTTCCTTGTGCTTGACCCTTGGCTGGGGCTCCACTGGCGGTCTCGCATCGGCGCAGCAAGGCGCGGGCATGTGTTTTCGAGGCGGGATCTGTTGAAATTCTTTACGCTTCGCGTATCCCCACCAGCCCATCTCAAAACAGCAACTCTTGCGAAGCATGCCGACAGTCGTGTTTTTCAGGCGTGTTTCCGCCTGCCCCCGCATATCTCCCTTGTTCCTCCTTCCTCCCGCCTCCTTGTACATCCTCCTTGTGGTGGGAGCGGGAGAAGGACGAGGCGGAGGAGGAGGGAGAGAAAGCGCTCCTCGTGGTTTGAGTCGTTTGGGGTTTCTTGTCCTGGTGTGAGTCGTTCGGGCCCTTCTTCCTGGTGTGAATCGTTCGGGCTCTTCGTGATGTGAGTCGTTCGGGCTCTTCGTCCTGGTGTGAGTCGTTCGGGATTCTCGTGGTGTGAGTTGTTCGGGCCCCTCGTCGTCGTGTGAGTCGTTCGGGCCCCTCCTCCTGGTGTGACTCGTTCGAGCTCCTCGTGGTGTGAGTCGTTCGGGGCCCTCGTCGTGGTGTGAGTCGTTGTGGGAGCCTCTTGGAGGCCTTTTTGGGCGTCTTCGGGGCCTCTTGGCGGCCCCAGGGGCTTCTAGGAGCGTCTCTGGTGCCTTGGGGGGGCCTCTTCGGGCCTCTTGGGGGACTCTTTGGGACGGGTCTGGGAGGAATCTTGGGGCCATCTGTCGGGCGATCGATCACAGATGGGGCGAGCACGTTTCCCCCCCTCCCCGTCGGGGCCAGAATCCTCGTGAGGGGTGTCGAACTTTAGCCCTCCCAGGAGTCGAAAAAAGACCCCTCCAACGACCCGCGAGACGCCCTCTCCAGGCCCAGGGGGAGGGGGTAGGGGGAGGGGTAAACCCCTCCCCGAAGGGGAAGAAGGGGGTTGAGAACAGAGCGGGCTCTCTAAACCACTCACGCCCAAAGGGCTGGTGGGATTCCTCGGAGGTGTTTGCAAGACCTCATTGGGCGGGAGATCTGGGAATGGGAATAGCGGACCCCGCTATAGAACAACAGTCCCCCATGATGGGGACGGTTATCATGGTGGTCGCATGCTTCGTGTGGAAACATCGCGCATGAGGGTAAACTCGTTGTTGTTGTTATTGTTGATCCTCCCCCGGGGCTCGCACCCTTTTTTTTTATCACGAACAATCTTCCTGAAACTGTGCCCCTTGGCCCCCGAGCTACAACAACAACGGCTCCCGCCGGATACTTCCTCACAATGTATTCCCAAACCGCGCTCTCGCGCGGGACTTCCTCACAGTTCATGTACGCATCGCGGTCTCGCGTGGGGTTTCCTCACAATTTATTCAGAAGAAGATGCGCCCTCGGCGCTCAGGAATCACGCTCTCGCTCTGGTTTGTTTTCTCACGATTTACTTGAGAATCGCGCTATCGCTCGAGATTTCCTCGCGATTCATGCAGAACCCATGCTTCAGCAACCCGCCTGCTCGACCCCGTCGCCTGGTCACGCCTTCCCGACCTGCCCGTCGTGGGTCTGCCCACCCGATCTGCCCGTCTGGTTCTACCACTTGGTTTCTGCTCCTTGCCCCCCTCCTGCTAATTTCTCTCGTGCTCCATTCTTCTCCCTCCCCCTTCATCCGTCCTCTCCTCCCTTGTTTTAGGGGCTGCACTAAACACGCGTGGCAGGTAAGGAAGATATACCCCCAAGGGGGTACGATCGAAGACGACCAGGGCGGGTCTCGAGGGTTTGGGATATACGTATTGATTGGCACGTGAGCAGATAGGAGCGAGCAGTCTCAAAATGATTGTTGTGGTTGCTGGTGACGTCGTTGCGTCTGCTGCTGGGGCCCCTGGTGATATATATATATATATATATATATATATATACACATAGAGAGAGAGAGAGAGAGAGAGATCGTGTTGCTGCTGTTGTTGGTGCCGTCGGTGTGGTTGTCGTCGCCCTCGCCCGTTACCTAGGGGAACAAAAAGTGTCATACATAAACATAATCGGAGGTCCGCGCGGATTTCTCGGATCGGCGCTGGACCCCCCTCCCTGGCGCGCGGAGCGCGCCAGGGGCGGCGCTGGAGGCGCCGCCAGGGGGCCCCAGCGCCGATCCGAGAAATCCGCGCGGACCTCCGAGTTTTTATGTTCGTGCCACTTTTTGTTCCCCTAATTTAGCCCAGCGGGGCATTCACTCCCCCACCCCTACCCTAGACTCCTGGCCTCCTGCCCAGTTCTGGATGCCCTCCCGAAGACCGCCACTACCCGCCCGCGACCCACCCCGCCCTCGCGCCTCGCACTGCCAGCTCGGCTCCAGGGCCCCCGGCGGCCCGCCCGCCTCCGCCCGCCCGCCGCCCCGGGCGGGCGCCC